GAAACACGAAAAGGAATCATGAAGGTGTTTCGTAGAGCGCTTGTGGTGCTGAAAGGCGAAAAGATAGCTGCAAACTTGTACATGCTGAAGGGAGAAGCTTTGCTAGAAGCAGAAGCCTCTGTTGCCTCATGTAGTTCAGATTCTAAAATGCTATGGCATCAGAAACTTGGACACATGTCAGAACAAGGAATGAAAGTCCTTGTGGAGAAAAAAATACTTTCAGGCTTAACAATGGTATCACTTCCTTTGTGTGAGCATTACATAACAAGTAAGCAACATCGGTTGAAATTCAGCATGTCAAATTCTAGAGCCAAAACTGTTCTAGAATTGGTTCACTCTGATGTATGGCAAGCACTAGTTACATCCCTAGGCGGAGCAAAATACTTTATCTCATTTATTGATGAGTACTCCAGGAGATGCTGGGTATACCCTATTAAGAAGAAGTCAGATGTGTTTTCCACTTTCAAAAACTTCAAAGTGCGGGTGAAACTTGATTTTGGAAATAAGATCAAGTGTTTCAGAACAGATAATGGAGGAGAATACACAAATGGAGAATTTGATGACTTTTGCAGGAAAGAAGGCATCAAAAGACAGTTCACAGTGGCAAACATCCTCAACAAAGTGGAGTGGCAGAGCGGATGAACAGAACCTTGATAGAAAGAACAAGAGCAATGTTGAGGGATTCAGGCCTAGAAAAATCATTCTGGGCAGAAGCAGTCAATACTGCCTGTTATTTGGTGAATCGAGCTCCATTAACTGCAATAGAGCTGAAGACACCAATGGAGATGTGGACTGGTAAACCAGTTGATTATTCAAACCTCCATATATTTGGAAGTATTGTGTACGTGATGTACAACGCCCAAGAAATTTCAAAGTTGGATCCAAAATCTAGGAAATGCAAATTCTTGGGGTATGCTAATGGAGTAAAGGGGTATCGCTTGTGAGATCCCACTACCCGCAAAGTGATCATTAGCAGAGATGTTATCTTGTAGAAGATAAACTACAAAGAAAAGAAGACGATGATAGCGCTGAAAAGTCAGAGACTACACAGATATATGTGGAAAATGAGTTTGAACAAGGAGATTCTTCTGAAGCAGAACCAGCACATGATGAACAAAAACCAGAGAGTTGTGAAGTTCCAACAACTCGTCAATCAGATTGTGTTAGAAGACGTCCCAATTGGCACTCAAATTATGTTATAGAAAGTAATATTGCATACTTCCTTTTAATAGAAGACGGTGACCATCAACATACCAGGAGGCAATAAACAGCTCATATGCTTCACTGTGGATGATGGCGATGCAAGAAGAAATTGAAGCCCTTCATAAAAATAATACATGAGACATTGTGTCACTTCCACAAGGAATGAAGCCAATTGGTAACAAATGGGTCTTCAAAATCAAGCGAAATGGTGACGATCAAGTTGAGAGGTATCGTGCAAGACTGGTGGTCAAAGGATATGCTCAAAAAGAATGTATTGATTTCAATGAAATATTTTCTCCTGTGGTTCGACTAACAACAATTCGAGTAGTTTTGGCAATGTGTGCTACATTGAACTTACATCTAGAGCAACTAGATGTTAAAACAACCTTTCTTCATGGAAATCTTGAAGAAGAGATTTACATGCTCCAGCCTGAAGGTTTTGAAGAAAAAGAAAAGAAGAACTTGGTTTGCAGGTTGAACAAATCTTTGTATAGTGTAAAGCATGCGCCGAGGTGTTGGTATAAGAGATTTGATTCCTTCATTATGTGCCTTGGATACAACAGACTTAATGCAGACCCTTGTGCTTATTTTAAGAGGTCTGGTGATAACGATTTTGTTATATTACTGTTGTATGTCGATGACATGTTGGTTGCAGGACCCAACAAAGATCATATTAAAGAATTGAAGGCATAACTGGCTAGGGAATTTGAAATGAAGGACTTGAGATCAGCAAACAAGATTCTAGGGATGCAAATTCATCGAGACAAAAGTAATAGGAAGATTTGGCTTTCACAAAAGAATTACTTAAAGAAGATCTTGACACGATTCAACATGTAAGATTGTAAGTCAATTTCTACCCCTTTTCCTATTAACTTCAAATTATCCTCCAGTATGAGTCCTAGCAGTGAAGAAGAGATGATGGAGATGTCTTGAGTATCGTATGCATCGGCAGTGGGAAGTTGAATGTTCGCTATGATATGCACAAGACCAGATATTGCACAAGCAGTGGGAGTGGTTAGTCGGTACATTGCGAATCCATGCAAAGAGCATTGGAATACAATAAAGAGGATCCTGAGATACATCAAAGGGACCTCAAATGTTGCATTATGTTACGGAGGATCAAATGTACTTATCAATGGGTATGTTGATTCTGACTATGCATGGGATTTGGATAAAAGCAAATCTACTACAAGATATGTGTTTAAAGTTGCTGGTGGAGCTGTAAGCTGGGTTTCAAAATTGTAGTCAGTTGTGGCTACATCCACAACAGAAGCATAATATGTAGCAGCTACACAAGCCAGTAAAGAAGCAATTTGGTTGAAGATGCTATTGGAGGAGCTTGGGCACAATCAAGAGTATGTCTCTCTGTTTTGTGACAATCAAAGCGCCTTGCATCTAGCAAGGAATCCAGCATTTCATTTAAGGAAAAAGCACATACGAGTTCAATACCATTTCATTCGTGAAAAGGTAGAAGAAGGGACAGTAAATATGCAGAAGATCCATACCAAAGAGAACATAAAAGATTTCATGACGAAGGCAATCAACGTTGATAAATTTACCTGGTGTCGATCCTCTTTTGGCCTGTCAGAAACATAAGCAACATGAAGGTACAAGGTAGAAAGAATTGTGTAAAGATATGATTATTCTAATCAAATCTTCAAGTGGGAGATTATTAGTTGTCATGCAAAATTATTAGTTGTCATACAACTAATAATAGTTGTATAATGCATAATAATGGTTCATAATGCATTGTAAGTTGACAACAATAATGGTTCATAGTTGGCACTAATAATGGTTGAAAAGTGACATGACAAAATCTCACATTTAGTCATTGTAATTTAGGGTATTTTCAAGATTAGTCCTTTAAGCTTCTACTATAAATACCCTAGCTCATTTAGCTTCAAAATCATCCCAAAGCATTCTAGCTTTCTTCCAATACTAGAGAGAATTTAGAGAGTTTCTTGAGAGTTGTTTTCTCATTTTTATCAAGAGAGAATTATCATTGTTTTCTCCTTGGTAGATTGAAAGAAATTGTAATTCCTATTTTCTCATAGTGAAATTCTTCTACCGTTGCCTGTGGTTTTTACCCTATATTATTTAGGGATTTTTTACGTAAATTTTGTGTCTCTTTTATCTTTATTTTTATTTTCTCAAATTATCAGTTGTGATTTTACTTTATTGATAGCCGTCTTCCGCAAAAAAAAGAAATAGTAAAATACTATTGTATGCGTGCATGGATAGTGGATAAACTCGATTATTCTTATCCAAAGGCATTAAGTTTAAGGGATCTAATTAAAATTTTCAGCAAGTGTAAGGGATTTAATGAAAAATTCAAACAAATTGAGGGTCTACTTAACTTTTTGATATATATAACTTTATTTTTAATGTGATTGCATCATTTTTTTTACTGAAATAAATTTATTCCCTATTAATGCATCAAATATACCAATATGCATGATCATCGTTTCTCGTTTGGCCCATAAACGCACCATAAACATAATATATATGCATAAATAATAGGTTCATAACTTTGAACATGACACAAGAAAATCAAATAAAACATGATAACAACATATAACAATACACAAATTATATAATACGAGCTATTAATATGTCAACATTAATTTATATAATCATATAATTACAATAGGTTAGAGTGTGAATTTTTTTTATAGACATACTAAAAATTGTAGAGTATAAAATTATAAAATTTTAGAGATACAAAATTAAATTGTTTATAAAATATAAAAAGAACCTAGATTATATGAAAGTTTTAAAATTTTCAGATACGATTTTTTTTCAACCCTCTATCCATCATTGATCATAATACTCAACACTAAAATTTAATTCCATGTAGGAACCCTATTGTTCAACCTAATTATCCTATCGTGGGATGAAAACATTGAGTCCATAATTTTTGTCTAACGACAAGTTTAGTCTTATATATTTATTTGAAACTTATTAAATAAATCTTATATTTTTAAATTTTGAATTAAATATTTATTCAATTCTTATTAATTTTGAAGTTAGATAATTAAACTCTTTTCATTGTCTATTTTTGAACAGTCTATTCTCTTAATCATTATAATTGTTTATGAGAATATAAGAATCAACGGGGATGAAGGTACATAAGGTTTAGGAGAGACACTTACCCCTTCTAAATTCTTTATCTAATATCATTTTAGATTCCTTTTAATTTAATAAAATTAAATATTCACTCTTTCTATTTTTTTAATAAATATCTAACAAATATTTATTATTGAGAACCACCCATTACTCTAACATAGTAATTATATATATATATATATATATATATATAACTGATATACCCTGACTTATTTAGGTTTATCCCAACACAAACATGTAGGGTAAACTCAATATCTAGCCTTCCACGAGTAGCAGCTACAACATCTGTTCAACCAACAGCTTGTTGGTTATATACATATATATATATTATGGTAGTCTTCATTGTAGGAGCATCCACCACCTGTCAATTACATGTCCCGATAAAATGAAAGAGAAGAAAGAAAAGGAAAAAAGTTATTGGTAGCAGGTGCCAGCAAAAGCTGTTTTGCCAACCTAATACTTAGCTATCAACACTATAAACTGCAATAAATATAGAATTATTAAAGCCAAAATCCAAGAGTAGAGGATTCCTAAGCATACACCCGTCTTTGTTTTGTGTTTTAGGTAGAATTCTCTTCTTTTTAGTAAAACAAACAGTCCACATTACCTGATTATTCTACAATTTCGTCTCCTTCTCTCCCTTTATTTACCCCTTTGGATCCTCATTACCCTCACCGGCCAAGACTGAGCGCAGCCTCCACGTCCAAGCGCCAAGCGAAACCACCCTCCATTTTCCACACATCACATGGCAACATTCTCGAAAGCTTCTCCTTCTTCCACGTATACTGCAACCTTACCTTGCATGAAAATTCAGTGCGAAACATAGGCAATTCTTGTTTCAACACCAGCCACACCATTATCTCCCGTGGTGGAGCGTCATTCGCTTCCGTTCCTACCATCAACATGCTCTTGTAAGCTCCGTTAACCCACTGAACCCTATGCAAACCATCTGATATAAAACCTGGACACGTGTCAGTCTCCAGATTCTTTATCCTTTCCACGTCCGTACTCCCTAACTCCCTCACTTCCATGCAACTGTCCGTCACGCTCTCCACCGTCACCCACGACTCCACCACCGTTTCCTTCCTCCTTTGAATCATCAACATCGTGCGATCGGGTTCTTCTACAACTCCCATGCGATCAAACCAACGGTCGTTGAAGTTCAAGTTATATAAATAAACTGGATCTTGATTTTCCTCCAAAACTCTTCCGTTATGATTGTTTACCGATCCGTTCCCTTCAGATTTCTCTGGTAATAACTGCAAAGTAACAATTTTTTCAGGATTCTCAGAAGCTTCATCGTGATGAAGTGGATCTGATGATGATCTTTTCTTTCTCCTCATATTATTCTTTCGAACCCTAACGTACTTTCGTTTAGCTCTTGGCTTATAAAGCAACAAGTTTTTGTTATCAATTCGAGCCCCATCGGTACCTGACTCGACGGATACCAGTTTAGGAGCTATCGGCCGGAATCTTAGCATTATCGAGTTGATCACCGTCTTATCTTGTGCACCATCCGTGTAGCCAACCATGCTCCACTTCACACCGCTGGAACCACCGCCAGAAAAAAAAAGATCAAAGCTTCTTCTACTTTCTTTCCCCTTCAAACTTTCCTCCCTTGAATTTCCGGGTAAAGGTTTTGTGTAGGAGAGGCGATAAGAATAGCGGCAAATTTACAGAGAACCAACACGTGGTCAGGGCAAAAAAAAAGGACATCTGAGTTTTTTTATTGGTTGAAATTTAAAGGTGGGGTCCACGTAAAAAGTAGATGGACCCACCGTAGAAACCAATGAAAAGAAGGTTAGTGTCCAGCAGTGCCGAAAGACAGGGGACACGTGGGTATAGTCTCGAGAGCGGAGTATATTTTACAATAAATGAAATGGGAAAAGAGCAGACGGAGGTTCGAGAATGTGGACACGTGGTCCTTCATCATTAGCTTTGTGACATCTAAAATCGGTGTGTGCACTATTATATCCTAATCCTTCCACTCGCTAATTCTCGCCGTGTACTTCACCGTTCAACTAATAACACTACCAAATTTCTCAACCATACTGGATAATGGCTACACCAGAAAAGTTGGAGGAAAAAATATAAAAAAATAAGATAAAATACTTCACTAAATTATAATTAATGGATAATTTTTGTGATTAAAATTTTAAAAAAATTATTAAATTTATTAAGTTATTATAAATATTTATAATATTTTGGATCAATCAAGTTGTCTCCATGGTTAAATAATATATTATTCAAGTACGAAAGTTATCAATGATTAAGAAATATTTTAAACATATGTTATAATTATTTCAAACTTTTCAAAAAAATATTTATAATATTTAATAAATTATTAACAAAAATGTTTTAATAATTATAAAAATTTAATACCTATTTTATAATATTTTAAATTATTTGATGAATTCAATTAGATAACTTTTATAAATAAATAATTAAAACGTTCATATGAATACTTTAATGACATGATATATAAAATATTAAAAATATATTGTAACACCACATTATAGGATTTTTTATATATATAATAAAAATTAAATATACATATAATTCACTTTGATAATAAAATTAAGTTTTAAATCTATTTATAAAAAATAGTTTTATTTTTTTTAATAAAGTTATTTCTTTTTAGTACATGATATTAATTTAATTATAAATTTATATATAGTGTAGGTACATCTAATAAATTACACTTTAACCATAAATGGAGCTAAAAATCTACAAATCAAATTGAAAAAATATATAATAAATTTCATATTATGTTAATAAATATAAATAATACATTAGTTGAAACTTGAATGAGTAAATGGAGTGAAGCGTTTACGTGGGAACATGGCGCGTGGAAAAGGTAATTTAGTGAAAGGAAACAAGAGAGGAGGAAGAGGGACGCGTGGCGTATTCGATAAAGATGTTGGTGAAGGATTTGTGACGCCATCGGATTTTATCTTGATTGTGGGATTGGAATAGGATGGGTGTTGTCTGCTGTTGCCACGTATTTTTCTTAAATTACTGTATATTTTATTTTTTTTACTAAAAAGACAATTACTGCTACTTTTCTCTCTTAATATAATATTGATAATTTTTACTTAACTAAATTAAACAAAGAACGTACATTGTTTATAATAATAATTATAATTATTTGTATTTGTTAATGTCTTTCAATTTACTTAAATTATATTTAATTTTATTTTTTGTGTGCAAAATGATAACTTTAAACTGAATCTTACGAGAAATTATTAGTGTTGTGATATAGCTTTTATGCTTTTAATTGAATAAAGCTTACATTGTATCGGTAACAAAATTATCTGATATATAAGTTATATAAATTTTGAATGTTATTTAATATATGGTGATTTTAAACCTTAAACATTTTATATTTCTAAAACTCTAAATAAAATAAATAAATGTCAAATCATAATAATTTATATTGTTAACATTTATAATATCTTATATAAATATTATCTAATATAAACGTTTTATATAATACCTAAATTATTTATAATTTCTTTAAAATTTAAAATTAAATAATTATTCTTAATCTAATCTCAAACCCACCGATATATATTATAAATCCCCCCTTCCCTCCTAATCTAATCTAATCTAATCTAATATTTATAACTATATAAATAACATATATATATATAAGGAAAATTATTTTTGTTTTAAAGCCCTATTGTTGTATAATATTTTGGTGAGGATAAATTACCTGCAGAAAGATGGGAATGGCTTAGAGTCCTAAAGTGAGGGCAGCCTTAACATCAAGCCTCCAAGCAAGCCTACCGGAGCTCATGTTCCACACGTCGGAAGGAACCATTCTCCACTGCTTCTTCTTTCCCTTTCCATCAACGTACTGTAACCCTACCCGGCATGAGAATGCACCCCGTCCCCGTGGGAACTCTAACCCTTCTTTCACCACCAACCCCACGGCGGTTCCTCCTCCCATCATTTTTTATAAGCTTCGTTAACCCATAAAACATGGTTCCAACCGTCGGATACAAAACTTAAACACGAGTCGTGCTCAAGATTCTTTATTCTCTCCACGTCCGTGTAGTTTTCCGTCTCTCCTTCATCCATGCAAGCGTCCGTAACGCTCTACACCGTCACACATGACTCCAGAACTGTAACCCTTCTTCCCCGGGAGACTATCGACGCCGCCTGATCCGACGACCCTACTGCTGCAACCGTTTTCTTCAACTTCAAGCACGGCGACTGTGGGTCATGAGATTGATAATTATCACCTACCGTCCGACTGATATCACAATCACCCCCAACCGTTGACTTCTCCAGATCAGCACTCTCTGGCATCAGCTGTAGAGTTACGGATCCCTTATTTCCTGCGTTATCTATTTTACCTTCATCCAAGGCTCTTCTCCTATTATTTTTTTGCAAACCCTAAAGTATTTTCTCTTTACTCTCTTGCTTGTAACACTCGTGTTCTTGTTACCAAACGATGACTCACCCGAAACTGAGTCTCCGTTCACAGGTTTTGGAGCGATCGGCCTGAATCTGAGCATTATCCGGTTGGTTATCGTCTTGTGTTGTACACCCCCAGTGCATCTCAGCAACTTACAAGCATCTCCACCCTCCATTTCTCGTTCTAAAGAAGTTAAAAGAAACCAAACAAACAAACCCTCTAGCTTTGTTTTATCTTAAATTTGGATTTTGTTTTCCCTTTTTTTTCATCAAAGGGCAAACGGCTTTGCCGGAGGTGAATCGATGATCATAGCGGTAGTAGTCGTGTCCAAAATCAGGGCACTCCACGTGTCCGATGACGACACTTTAAACAGTGACTAGATTTGATTGGTTGAAACCGACGGGGTGAGTTGCAGTAAAAGTTAGATGCTTTTTGCGTGTTTCGAAGCCTGTGATCGGCTCATCGTGTTACTCAATGAAAAATAAGTACGTGGCGAAAACCCGTGAAAAGGAACACACGTGGCTGCACCTCGGGAGAAGACATAAATATTCTGTTTGAAGTGGAATAACTTTTTCTTTTTAAAAAAAGAAAAAATAATATGGGCGGATGGATTACTCATTCTGAACACGTGGTGTTTTGTGATTTGTTATGAAAGAGAAAGCTCAGTTGACAGTCACTTCCACATTTCCTGCACTGAAGCGCGTGAATACAAACGTTGATATTATTTTTACTCAACAATAGGCTTGTGAATGAGTATAGTCGTATCACAAGTTATTTAAATTTTATTTAGTTAAAATTCGATCAAAATTTAAATTTAATAAGTTAAATTAAAGTGAGCTATTTAATATTTAATTAAAAAAATTTACAAAATATTAATATATTCTTTTAAATTTTTAAATTAAACTTTCAATAATTTTAATAATGTATTAATGGGATGACGGTACGATAGAGAACGCGTGGAAGGTGTGACAGGAGGGGCAGATCTTTGGGCATACATTTTTGATGTGAACGTGGAGGGAGGGGGTGATCGGGACATTTCTGTCCGCCTATGTTTTCCAATTTATCAGCGGTGTCTTCAAAGGTTATTTGACATAAGTGAGACTAATTTTCTCTAATATCTTTTTTTTTGATACCGTTTGAACAATATTTCTTAAAGTAGCATTTTTTCGGTTGAGATGGAGAAAGGCGTGTCTTCGGGGACGCGTCTTACCCGTGTTTTCGCTGAGTTAGATGTCACGTATGGAAGGCGCATCCCTGGGGACGCGTCTTTCGCCAGCTCGACTGTCACTTGTGGAAAGCGCATCACCGGGGACGCGCCTTACATTAAATGCCATAAATGCCCCCATCCGTTTTCCCTAACTACCCCTCCTCCCTTATATAAACCCCCTCAACCCTCCCTCATTCTTCATACCAAAATCATATTCTCCTCTCTTATATAACTCAAATTCTTCAACTATTTGAGTTTTAAATTTGTTATTAGTGGTAAGAAATTTATTTTATGTTAGTATTTTTTTAAATAGTTATTATATTTTATATTAATATATTTATGTAAATATTATTTTTTTATTAAAATAATATTTATATAATTATTATTTATTTAGAATTATTAATTTTTTTTGCTAATTATATTGTTTTGTCTACAGTTATAATGGAAAACGAAATGCTGTTGCGATTGGATATTGATCATATCTACAGACATTTTAGCGATATGGTAATATTTTTTATAATTAATGTTAATATTTAAATTTATTTTTATATTAAAGTTATTATGAATTTATATTAATTTTTATTTTTTATAATGTATATTATTTTAGGATACTAATCGTATTTTAGAGATTTTATTAAAAATTCACGTATACCGATACCGGAACGTATTTTGCCATATTTGGCTTCTGCCGGGTTCGGGTATATTGCAACAATTATAGGCGGTTGCAAACTCGAACCTGTCCTAATTTCTGCACTGGTTGAGAGGTGGAGGCCCGAGACACACACTTTTCACCTTCCATGTGGAGAGGCCACAATTACATTGGAGGATGTCTCTATGCATCTGGGGCTTCCTATCGACGGAAATATGATGTGTGGTATGGCGGATGGTGATTGGCAATCAAT